AAAGTATCACCGGTTTGGTGAATTTCGTATCCAGGCAACAGAATTGGCACAGTGCTATCCTAATATTTGTCCAGGCAACATAATTGGCATAGTGCTATCCTAATATCGTTATTGGCATAGTGCTATCCTAATGGCCTCTATTTCTCCTTCCGCGGATCTATTGTGTCCCGCTGCTGCGTAGAAAGAGAAGAACGGATCTATTATGTCCCGCTGTTGCGTGAAAGAGAAGAGTTCAGAGTAGACACCTGCACTAACGTTTGCTTGGCTTTCTAGACACCTGCACCAATGTTTGCTTGATTTTCTATGTATGACTACACCTGCACCAACGTTTGCTTGGTTTTCTATGTATGACCCATCAGTAATGACTAGGGGCCATTGATGAGAAGAGTTCAGAATAGACACCTGCACCAACGTTTCCTTGGCTTTCCATGGCCTCAACAGTGCAGACTTATATATGACCCGCAGTGAAGACTTGGAGCCATTGATCTGCAGGATAGTTGACCCATCTCCAGTATAGTTAACATTGATTGTCTCAAGGGCCAGTAAGTTTGCAGCATCAGGTGAAGACTTGGAGCCATTGATCTGCAGGATAGTTAACATCACTGGAGCCATTGATCTGCAGGATAGTTGACATTGATTGTCTAGTGGGAGCGCATTTGCTCTGGAGGAGTGTTTGATTTCCTGAAGACGGAGCGCATTTGCTCTGGAGGGGTGTTTGATTTCCTGAAGACGTCGAGGCATTTGCTCTGGAGTGGTGTTTGATTTCCTGAAGAAGTCACGCAATGGGTGCGACACACTACATAATGTGTCTGCTAATGGGTTCATGGGGAGAGAGTGGCTTTTTGGTTGATGATTTGTAACGCTTTCTTCAGTTCTATGGCTTTCTGTATTAGACAAGTTTGCGTTGTCAGATGTCTTGGTCTATTTTCATAGGTGGTGAAGAACTTGTCCATGGGAATGCGCAGTAGCTTCTCAGACAGGTGAAGAACTTGTCCATGGGAATGCGCAGTAGCTTCTCATATTGGATCAAGGCCTTTTCTTTGATGAGGGAACCTATTGTGGAGTTTCCTGTAACTAGGAGCATTGCATCAATGGGTGTTGATTTTATTCCTCCCAGTAATAAGTCGTAATGCTTGGTTGTGTGCCTTCTCGAGTGAAATTAGTCGTAATGCTTGGTTGTGTGCCTTCTCGAGGGGATTGAGTGTCACCTCTGTGGCTGTAATGAGTGGGGTAATGCTTGGTTGTGTGCCTTCTAGAGTGGTTTGAGAGTCACCTATGTGGTTTTAATTTGAGACTTACAGTAATGCAACATTTTTTTCAAATAAACATCTTGTAAGTGGTGTTTAGGGTTGAGCGTGCACAGCCCCATACGCTACCAGCAAGACGCTTTAGTACATTCAGTCTATTGGAGATTCGTTATGCTACTTTAGCAATGTAACTTTTCCACGTTCGCTTTGTGTCAAAAGTCATTGAACTCATTGGTTTTTTCTTGGGTGCGATCCTTGTACTTTTTAAGCGGGTTTATGCTGTGACGGGCCAAAGAAAATGTTTTGAATGGAGTTTTCGCGGTGTTAATTACCATTCCATTATTGTTGCACCGGTTTTCTAGCTGTTTTAGCGCACAATTTAGGGCACTTTCTGTCCTCTCCTGAACGTTTT